GGTATATAAGCTTCGGCTGGCCGAAGGTAGCTTCCTTTCTTGTTTTCACATTGTATTGTTTCTTAAAGTAGTTTAAAATATCAAAATATAAATACAATTTATTAAATTCAAATTTTAAATAGATAAGTTCAATTATTATTAATTTGTATTTATTAAACTTTGATATTTATTGCTGTTACCTATAGTTGATTTTCCTTTGTTATTGCAATTGAGTTTTAAAATTTTAATATTATTTAAAATTTACGATTTAAAGGGTTAAGGAGTGCTTGGACAACTGAATATCTGCTGTGTCCTTACTGGCCGTCTAAATATTTAGACAATCAAACAAGATTTGCGGCAGGCAAGCTATTTATTTTGTGGTTAAGATGCTTGCTTCCCAATCGATTCGAATCAACCGGACCCATTGCTTCCTTTGCGGTGTTGGCAAATGTTGCAGTCATGGGAATTTCGTTTACGTTTCGGTTGCTGCCCGATTTTGCGGTGCCGGTGGTTTCGTTGGTTCCAAGGGGGTTCGGTGAGAAGTAGCCCAAAAGCAAAGTCAAAGGCGGAATCTGAAAGCTAAAAGTCAAGGGGGTTTTTCATTTAACGCGCAAATGAGGTCAAAGGGTGAAAGCTTCTCAAATGTTCGTTGGATGTTCGATTAATTAGACATTTAGCTTTAGCTTTGAAGGCTGTCGGCAATTTACAGCTTAAAGGCGGTACTCACTTTTTTGGTAAAAACAAATTCTCAAACGCAATGAAAAAGCAAAGAAAATTAGGGATCCTTACTTAATTCCAGATAAACTTTTTATCAATGGCTTTGAAACTAAACTGAATTTACTAATTTAGGCTGATTTTTTAAGTGATAATTTTCCATTTCGGTTTAAAGTACTTTTTTTTTACACATTTAAGCATTTTTCCCTACTTTAATTGCAGTTTTAAGAAATTAATCAATTTTTATTGAAGACGAAAAGTAGTGTCACCTTAACCTCAACCCGAACTCAATTTGCATAATCGAAAATGGGATCTGGGTCCGGGGGCCTTTAAAAACATTTAATTGAAACGCGTTACGAGGCACGTACAAGCCGCCAACGACACTGTTAATTATAAATTTCGCTCGCTGTGTGTTGGTGTGGGTTTTTATTGCGCTGCATCGGCAATTAACAGACAAATATAACAACAAATAACTGCCAGCCAGGTTTGCAGATGCTGCGATTTTTATGCCCAACGATGGACGGTCGTTGAATTATTGGCGGTTGTTCATGCCGCAGCTGCCGGCATTAATCCAACACGCTCGGTTCCAGGCTACACCCGTGCACTATGGCAGATCTAACCGATGCGCCTCGTAAAGCAGGCCCACAATGGCCAACAACACCGCCATCCAGATGGCCCATTCCAGCCCGATTTCGCCTTCGGTTCGACATCAGACCCGGCCAATGGGCATTTTTTGCAGTGATTTGCGTGCATCGGCATGTCCTGCGAGGATCTCGACCTCTCTGGCCACGGGGCTTTTCTCGTTGTTTCGTTTTTGTACGCCGCATATCGTGTAGTTGATTGGGGTATCTCGGTTATCTGCTCAGTGGTTGGTATTTTTAGGTGATATTCCAATGAAGACGTATTCTGGGGTTAAAAAAAGCCTCATGTTTAACATTTAAACCGTTTATGTTTGGCGTACTATGTTTTAAAACTTCCCCATAGGATACACGACTCCGCTAGCAATTCTCTTCAGCCTTATTCAGATGAATAAGTTTAGAAAAATATTTGTTCTTTCATTCAGTTGTAACTGGCATTTGCGGTAAAGTTTCTTTGTTTTAAATAATCTCTTTTTCGAAAAGGCAAATTTGTAAGAAATCTCAAAAAAATATTTAAGGACTAGAAGATAATAAAGATTAACTTGCTCAACGTTTTCTCATAATTAATTTCTGAATTCACTTTTTTGGCAAAAACTTTAGGGAATATTAATGGTACTGTTCTTTAGTTACTGAAGAACTATTTAGTTTTGGCCTTTGGCCAATTATCTTTGTCTTAATCTTTTTATGATTTATATTTAGTAGGTATACTGAGTTCGATCCCGATGTCAAGTTTTTTTATTCCGGAATTTTTGTAGCTTCGCATCCCTGTCTGCCATTCAATTGAACCAAAACGCGGATGGTCACTGGGGTAAACCTATGGGCGGGGTTGGGGGTCGAGGGGGCACGCATACGCACTCTCTGATTGCATCAAGTTGAAATAATGTAATTAGTTTTTGTGCCGCGGTCGGGAGCAGGATGCAATTCGGTGGAGTGGGGATTGCTGATGTGGCTTGGGGTTTTGTTGGGACCCTGGCAACGGTCGAACAAGTTTGCCTGTCTGATGTTTTGGGGCCTCGTTAGCAGTTTGTTTTGTGTGGAAGAGAGTTGCCAAAAAGGTGGCTTTGGGACTGTTTGTTTCGATTGGAATTTGGTAATGATAAGTGCTTTGATTAGATGGCGAGAAATTTTGACACTTTTCCAATGGTTGCAAGCATTTGCAATTGCACTTATAATTGCAGTGCCCCTTTTATACCTGTAAATTTAAAATTCGAGCTTTAAAGTATGCAATATATTACTTTTTCATATTAATAATAAATATTTTTAACTTAAAACGTATGTATTATACATTTTTAAGCACATGTTTTGGGAACTATATAAATCTTAAGTAACTCAAACTAATTTTTACTTACCCATACCAACTAAATTCCTTTGCCCTGTCATTATAGTGCGATACATAGTAAATCTCAGCGCTTAGCGGACCAATTCAATATCATCCCAATTACATTATCCCATTACTAAAACTCCAATAGCCGTTGGACTTGCTTAACTCTTCTTAATTCACAGGATTTCTCTATTGTTTCGTTCCATTCCTCTATTTTTGGCCGTCTGGGTTCCGGCTCCATTTGTGGCCTACATATTTAAGTATCTGGCGGGAAAAAGTATTTTTTGGAAACATTCCATTGCGAGAATCAGAAAGCAGACCGGGCCAATTTAATGGCGCCCATTACGCGCCATATCGAATGGCCAATTGTGCCCAAAAAATTATCGCACCATGGCATGCCATCGCCGTCGCTCGGCCGTCGACCATTCGCTCGGCTGTCAAATAATTAATTAGAAAATAATTGCACGTAATAATTCATGGGCCCCATCGGGCCGCTCAAATGGAGATAGATAGGGAGAAGAAAGCGAATAACCCATGGGCGGCCTGCCACAGATTTCGTCCTGCGATTGCCTGCTGCCTAGAGTGTGGGCGATGGCTAATTCCAACTGTTACTGCTGTTAATTTTGTATGCATTCGATTGGGTGCGCTGCGTATGCGTAATGCCTCACACTCCCGAAACTGTCATGTCGCATACATCTAAAATTAATCATTGGCATGCAGCATAATTTATTATGTCACACAGCGGCCGCATTGGCCACAAACCCAAAACTGCCAGCAGGACCAAATCAAACCAGAGGCCGGAGAGGCGTTTACTTCCTGCGGTTGCCGGTTTGACATGACACAGTTAAAAACAGAGTCCAGTCTCTGATGCTCTGTAATGCACAGCGCAGGAAAATATTATAGGAACGGAAGAAAATTTTAGGAATTGAAAAACTCAGAAAAAACTCTAGTTAAATCAATTTATATTTGGCAACAAAAATAAATTTATTAAATAAACCATTTTTTAAATAATTCTAATATTTTAGGATAAAGTTCACAATTAAAAAAAATATATAAAATTTATTTAAAAAATTATATGTGTAAGTATAAAAATTCACAACCAAAAACTTAACTTTTTTACAGGGAACGTAACTGTTATAAGTTTTATTTTAAAAATCACACTTTAACAGTTATTTTCTGATTTGTAAAGTAAAACTCAAAGAATAACTGTTATTTTTTGAGTTTTATAATAAAAGTTGACAAATAACAGTTATTCGTCGTGATCAAAAATAAAACTCAAACTTGATTTATGGCGATTTTGTGGGTAAACAAAATTTTAAAAAAATATAGGTATAAAATATGCGCGGTTGCCTTTTTTAACAAATTTTTAGTAAGTTATAAAAAGCACGGGTATCATGTTTTTTTTAATTATTTCATTTTTTCAAAAATGTCAAGGGAATAACTGTTATTCATAAAAATCAAAAAATAACAGTTATTTTTTGAGTTTTATTATAAAAATCAAAAAATAAAAATCATTACGGATTTGTAAACTACAATGGCTAATAAAAATTGTGGTGTATTTAAAAAATTTTTAGGACGCTTCTAAGTGCGTGATTTTTTTGTATGAAAAATTTACAATAACAGTTATTTTCGTTCCCTGCTTTTTTAACATAAAATTGAAATTTTAAGAATAACGAAACGAATGTTTTAATATTTTGTTTTATTCAAATACCTACCACTGTAGGTACATTTATTTCAGAATTTTCTACCTTACAAATGTCATGTAGAATGTCGGTTGTCGGGCTCTTCAATCAAATGCGAAAATTTGTATAATTATAGGCTGGCCGACTGCAGGCCTCAAGTGGTGGAGCCATTTGATTTAATCACGTTAATAGCCTTTGCATGTCGCGGTGCTCTCTATACGTACAGAAACGATGTGAGTGTGTGTATGTATGGCCTTAGAGGTGTTAAATGTTTGCGGTTGCATTGTAATAAACTTGCATGCAAATGGCCGGCCATCAACTTTAATTACGCCCCGAGTGCCACAGAGTTTTGGAGTAATGAAGAAAAACTGCCGGGCTCTAACGGAAGGTAAATTGATGATTGATGAAATTTTTTTAGGTGTGCGTGTGAGCCGGACTGAAGTGTCTGGAGAGGTTTTCCACAGAGGTGTGAGCCGTCAAAGGGTTTCCGGTGATGTAGGATAAGCAGCCATAAGTTTTTGCTACCTTATGATTGATTGTGTGCTGCTAAATGCTCCATTACATAACCTTTCCTTTGCTATACAAAAACGAGACAAACATCCGTAATTTATGGAGGTCTGTCAACAGAGTTGGGCCCCCTAAATGAAAACTCCATTGTTTGGATTATTTTGCATTTTTTAAAGTTATTTTTATTGCATTTCTCGCTCTTTCCTTCTGGCGTTCTTTTCAAATGTATTTTGTATGAATCTCAAATGTTTTCCACTTGTTTGCTATTTTATTTGCCATTCACAAACAATATTACAATTTTTCATGGATTGGTTTCATGTTTCATTTTTGTTTTCTATGTTTGTTTACAATTTGTCACAACCTTACAAATTGAAAATTGATATAAACCAAAAAGTTTTGGAAATTGTGTACGTTTATTATTGAAATTTCTCATTCAATACCTTACGGTATTTGTATGTCGAGTAAATAAAATTTGAGCTGGATTTACCTTTAGTTTGTTTGTGTTTGCTGTTGGTTGGGCTTTGTTCTGCGATTGTTACTAATATAATACTTGTTTATCATCTCTGCGGTTCTATTATCAATTTTGTTTTGTAAGGTAGCGCCTGAGAACGCTCGGCTTGGCCTTTTTTTTGCAGCCTTGCCCGTTCCTATACACAATGCTAAATTTAAAAAATATTTTTCCATTACCATCTAAATGTTTAAAAATCAAAATAGGCTTTCTGTTTTGCATATTTCCTTTTTGGGGCTTGCGGGAGGGGAAAAACTGTAATGCTATTTTCAATGTTTTATGTTTTATTTCATATTTTTATTTCAATTTGTGTTTTGCATTTGCTCATAAAAACAAATGGTACAACTTACAATTTGGCACATCATTAAAGATTAGAGTTTTCATATAATATATATTTATATACTTTATTTTTATACTTTATATGACGCCTAGGCATCTGATCTATGTGAAAGTAAACAAAAGCTGGCGCTGGCTTATGGTTAGACTACACAGATTACAGTTTTTTGGGGGTCACAAAATGGATCGGGTTAAATGAAGACTTTATCATATACATCATATATCGTATTGTTATCATATAGCTGCAGTGTTTGATTGAGTTGCGTTTGCTTTTATAATTTAATTGTAGGTTGACTTTCCTCAACGCATTGCTTAAGACAAAAATTGTGTTTTTCTTAGATTTGTTTTTCGTTTGTTTTAAAAGTTTGCGGTGGAAGTTGAGTTCATAATTTAAATGTATATACCATACCGTATTATATTTAAGTTTGTTCTATAACTAGATGGTTTCCCTCTTGCCTTTGCTCATCAAACCCAAATATCTGTGTGTTCTGGTGTGCGATCGGGGTGGGCCAAAAAGTATACTAGGCTTTTTGGCAAACTATTTTTTGCTCTAGTTGAAAAATTCATTAAATTTAATTACGTCTTTATTTTATAATTCACTTGAAAGCTACTTTTAATTTGGCAATTGTTGGGTTCGATTTGTTTTTCTTTATTGTTTTCCCTTTAGTTCGTAATCATTTACTTATCCTTCTGTGTCGTCTGTCGTCAGCATATAAACTAATACCTAACTAAAATCATTTAAAATATAGACTTTGGCTTTAAAAATGTCAACGTAAAAATAGTATATCAATGCATGTTCATGAGAGAGAATCAAACAAAAGGTACCTCTTAATGAGGGTACAATGAGTATGCCATAAATTGCTTCGATTTCCCAGGACCCTAGCCTGTGCGTGTGTTGTTTGTGTGTGCGTTAAGAGGAATAAGGTAAAATACCATATGTCGTCATAAATATGTACAATCTGAGACAGTTGCTAAGTGATTAGTTAAACAAAAAAACATCAAAGTTGAAGCTCTTTGGAGTTGATGAAATTTTCATTCCTCACTTCATCCCTCTTTTCAAGTAATTGTTAGTAGATTTTTAAGGAAATTCGAAGAACACCTAAAGGATTGCACGATTACACACACACAATAATTAGTAGCTTGTTTTTTTCTTTTAGCATAGTATGGTTGATAAACAACTAGTATAATTTTGACGACAGTAGCTGCCTAAGAATCAAAATAGAGAACGACTTCTTTTTGTTTGGTTGTTTTCCATTGAGCATTTAATCGTTAACATTTGAAAAATACACAACGTTAAAAGTTTCTTGGTTTCATTTTTGTTTTGTGTGTGCATTAGATTCAAGTGTGTATAAAATAAATTCTTAGTTTGCTTAGGGAAGTTTCGCTTCGGTCTAGACCGAAAATGAACAACATCGAAACGACGTTCCTTTTTCTTTTTCATTTTTTTTGTTTCTTTACACAACACACAAGGAAAGTGCTACGGAGTAAGAGCTAAAAATTGTAATTTTTAATGCTTATTATTCGATTTCCACATCATTCATCAATGGCTTTTTGTCACTGGAAGCTTGACTTTTTAAAACTAATATTTTTTTTCATTTTTCTTTTTTTGCTGTCGCTTTGCTGCTATGGCGGCATTTAAAGTAAATATTATTGTATATTTCAAGGATATGTCTACGTGTTGATCTTTTGCATTTACCTATGCGCTACAATTTTTTTGAGCAATTCGAATTGAGTCGTGAGTTGAGTGAGTGGTTTAGCTGCCAAAATATAAAATTATTAGGAACAACCAAGCAATGCATTAAAATTAAATTCGTTGACAATACAGTACAATACAGAAATGAGTATTCTTTGGGTAATCAAATTAGAGATATCGATCTAAAGTATATACGAATAAATATATATTTTTGTTTGTGCTTTAACAGTTTGCAAATAATATACAATTTGATTTGTTAATGTGGCTGCATTGTTACATTCCCTTACTACATACTACAATGCTAATAAAAATAATTTGTAAATCATAAGGACTAAATTAGTTCAACGAAGTTTTGTAAATCAACAACCGAGGGTCTATATATATTTTTTTGATGATGTTTCAGCATTAAAAGTACCTCAAACATTGCTCTTTTTCCTGGTTGCTTTGATATACAAATACAATGCCTATATGTATATAATAACTATATATCATGTCGCTATGTATATATATATAAATTCTGATCTGCCGCACAAAGTTTCAGCTTTTGTTCTGGTAAAAATCTACGCATGAAGCACATTTTTTTTCATTCTCTGCAAAACTATTTTGCAATTTGAATTTATGTTTTAATATTTTTTTTTCACTTTTTGTTAGGTTTACTTATATAAACTCCATAGAACTGCGTTTAGCGGCGTACTTTTTTCTTTTTGGTTTAGCTTTTTTGCTTTTACTGGACGACATTGATTTGTTTATGTTCTTTTTGTTTCTTTGTTGCTTAGCTTTGATTTTCAACTCTCCAAGGACTTTGAGCGTCTGTTGTTGGTGTTGCCGTGGTTGCTGTTGGGGTTTGAGTATCCTGCATCTATCGGTTTAGTTGTAACTTCTACTTACTGCACGTAGGGAGGAGTATTTACGTCTAAGTTACTTATTTGCTTTGCTTTGTTCATATATTGAGCATTTTCATCGAGAGTAGTTCAAGTGCATTATTTGGCTGACTGGCGTAGATTGTTCTTAATATGGCGTGAAACGATTGAAGCCACCGCGGTACATGGTTGCCTAGGAAAAAATGTGAAGAAAAATAAAACAAAAGTTGTGTGGTTTAGTAAAAAATATTACTATCTTTTCTTTTTAAAATAAATAATATAAAAAATGCTAAACTTCAATTTTTTTGTACTTAAAATTGTTAAATAATATTTTAGTTCACAAAAACTTACCCCGTATCCAGGAACGGGTCCAATGCCATGTCCTAGATAAGGATCTGCATATTCGCGCGCATATCTATAAATATTTTTGTGATGTATGTTCAGCATATTAGTATTACTCAATTGCGATTTTTTATGTCTTTAAGATTATTGATTGTGTGATTGATGATTCCAGTTGGATTTATTATTTGCGATTTAATATGGCACCAATATGCAGTTGTATTTATTTTTGTATTTTTTAATAAAAGTTATTTAGTTTAGACAAGGTCTTGCAAAAGTGTTCAATCGACAGCTGTAGCTCTTCAGTTTTCGGTGTTAGATTTCTACACTTTACCCAATTACACACATTTATTGACAAATAATACAAAAGAAGAGGTAAAATCAAATAATTAGTCAAATTTCAAATAAAGTTTAGATTTATCCAATGAACTAATAAGAATAGATTTCACATTTTTTATAAACTTAGTAAATAAATCAACATAAACTAAATATGGTAATCAATGTGATAAAATAAGTTTAAATACATATACATAAATAAATTATTAAGATAATTTAATAAATAAGAGGCAATATTTGAAAAATACGTACTAAATCAGAAACTAATAATATATTTTACATATTATAATTTTGAGTGTAATGTACTTTATGTTGTTATTATAAGAATATATTCTTAATACATTTCTTACTATTTACAGTCGACCTATTATTTAAATATTTTGTAAATACTTCAGTCAAGACCTGATCTAATATTCTTATGGAGGGTTTTATATAAATATTACACGTTTAAAAGTATATGTGATACCAACTGAATTCATCGTATGTCGGAAGGATTTGTTATGTTTTAATGAGTAAGGCACCATCCTCTGTGGATAAGATCGGTCAGATGTATTTATATAACTTACCCAGCTACGGTGGCGTAGCCGGCTAGTGCCGGCTGGGCGGCTGCTGCGGCAGCGGCTCCATAGGCGGCTCGGGCGGCTACCGCCGTGTAGGTGGTGGCCGCCGTGGCGTACGCCTGCTGCTGGGCCTGAGACAGCGGTGTCTTTAACAGCGGAGCAGTGGCCTGGAATAATGGTAAGCAAATGGGGCGTTAAACTGGGGCAACATGAGGGCGGCGACTTGAGGAACAGACGCAGTTACAAATCGGGGTTGGGGTTTTGTATTTTTTTTTTTTTTTTTTCGTTTTAAGGGGGCGACAACGGCAAACGACAAGACTAGCGGAGGAGTCGGTGAGAGCAAGTGTGGTGAGAAATTAGGAACCCAAACCGGTGGCGGCCAAAAGTATACACACATATAAATATTTTGAAACCAAAACCAAAAAAAAAAAAAACGGGTGCAAACAAGTGGAGTAGTGTGATTTAAAATATTCTATTTACACTTAAAAATCTAGGCCAGGTGATATAACCTTTTTCAACCGAGCTACGGAGAACCCAAGATGCCAGGCCATAAAACCGAAAAGCGCGGCACGAACCAGTAAATAACTTATCGTATTGGATTACTCGCTAGGGTTAACTTAACTCTTAAGGCATAGACATACAGTTCAAGTGGTGCATACAAAAAGGCATTGAGCAAAACGTAAATAATGTGACAACAATCAAACGGAAAGTCAGGATATCTAGGTGCATGGGTATGGAACTAGAACTAGATATGATTATTTTTACCAAAACATTCTGTGGAACCGGAATGCGGTTGATCGTATGTGGGTTACTGTTTAGCGTAGTCACAGTGCGGCGCTGTAATTTATGGTTTTTGTTTTTCAATCAGTTTTTTTTTAATTTTTTCAATTGTGTTGTGGTTGTTGTTGTTGAGTTGAGTATATTGTAACAGTCGTGAAAAATAACCAAAGAAGAATTTGTAGTAGTTACAAAATGTTTACAGCACTGAATAATAAGTATTTTATATAAATAGTTTGTAGTTATTATTTAGCAAAAGCAAAAATGTGAAACAAATTAAGGAAACTAGCAGAAAAAAGTATAGGGATTAGAGCAGTTAAAGAGAGCTTATGTTTCATAAAGCCACCTGTGATCACTAATTGTTTTATTGTAACTTAAAAAAAAAACCAAACAAAGGATGCAATTATACAGTAGAGAGCTTATACCAAAGTGTTCAGTTAATCAGACATTTAGTAAGCTTAGCTGAGCTTAAGTCAGGAAAATAATGTGATTTACGACCAGTTACCAAGTTCGATCTCAACTTAAATGTGTTACACAGCAAGAAATTAGGACGCGTCGTTAGTTCAGGATGGACGTGGATAATGCATAAGGAAACTCAAAGGAAGCGACTTAAAACAATATACGTATGAGTAATAGATAATAACGTTTGTTCCAAAAACCAAGTCAAATGTTTCAAAACTCAAACGGTGTCTTTCACAAGCTACCATAAAAATATACAAATTAAAACTGAATTGTTCTTAATTTTTTTGGTGGTTGTGGTTAGCATATTAGTTTGAAAAAGTTTTATTACATTTAATATGGCGGCTGGCTGAGCGGCTGGAACTTCAGTGACCGGTTTGGCTGCCTGTAAGATTTATATAATATTTTCATGTATTTTCGTGGAAAGTTAGGGGATCGTTTTAGCTCTAGACTAGGCTTTATACTAGCTTAAATACGTAGAGTAAACTTAGGACTAGTTAAACGTTCATTTGGCTGGACGAAACTCACCTGGAAGCGTAGATTTGGATCAGCGGAAGCAGCGGCTGCTAAGAAGGGATCATAGTATACACTGCGTTGGGGACAAGACGATAAGAGAAGATCATATATTAATAAATAATTCCTGGTAGGTTGGCATCTGGGTAGGTGAGTAAAATGAAAGGCAAGCCAGACAGAGAAACCTCTGAATTGGTCTACCTCTCACACAATTTATGGCACTTAAAAGCAAAATTCAAAATTTTTCTTTTGGTTCATTTTTTTAACGCACTTGTGTGGTCTTTGATTTGGGCGCAATGAAAAACCAGACGGGATAAAGTTTGCTTGTTAAAAAAAATTCCAAATACTTTAATACTTTGGCCAATAAAACTCTATCCCCATCCGTTGTTTTTTCTTTTGGTTTTGTTTTTTATTAAATGTTGTTGTTGTTTTTCATGGTACCGGATGCTGTTGTGGGTAAATGGCTGGAACTTAAGGGGGGAAACTGAAAAACAAAAGTTGGCACCTAATTGTACACACCCCACCTCACCTGCCTAGCTAATAGCCTGTGCTAAACTGACCTGATCTGACCTGATTCCCCACTTGATGACGAACTGATTGGAGGGAATGTTTGAGACAGAGGAAACGAAACAAAGGGAAATTAAAAGGTTTAGATATTGTCGTTTAAATAGAGTACTAGCAAAGATAGCCAACCAACCAACCACATACATGGGTCATTCCATTCCTTGACCCAACACTACGAAATAGTCTTGCTTGCTTCAATTTAGCATTTAATCTTTAGACAGAACAGACACTCATGCACCTAGCTAATTGGATATGTTTCTTATTTTTGTTGTTCTTTGGTTTGGCATGTCTTGATGTGTGTTTATAAGTATACAATATTTAATGGAGCATTCATTCGTACGCTATGGTGTGAGGTTGAATATATGGGTGAGTGTGTGTGTGTGTAGAGAGCAGCCACAAAAGAATAAGTTAATCAAAGGTCTATATAAATATATATATAATGTCGGGGCAGAACATGCACGCAAGGCGCTGGCAGAGAGCGACGCAGTCGCATTAAAACACTTTCAATTCAAATTCAAATTCAAACCGAAATTCATCATACGCCTAGTGGTACACAATATACAACCGAGTAGGTCCCTTAACCAAAATAACGATAATTAGGTAGTCATACGATGCCAAAAACACACATCTGTCAGTCAGAGTATGAGCAAATATATATGCGAGTGTGTTTATATATAGAGTTATAGATAGTATATACGTGGACGGTGTGTGTTAGCGTGCGTTAATCGGTTGCAGCTTTTGCAATTTTGTATTCAGTTTGCGTTCGGTTCGTTATACTCTTCTATTGCTGGTTTTATACAAAATAAGTCAAAGTCTAGGTTTCATTATATGCGATATTAAAACTTTACACACACAAGATAGCTAAAAAACATTTGTCACCAACAAGATAGAGACGTATAGATAGAGTAACACAGAGAGAGATTGAAAGAAAAACAATCTTTAAGCTATAAACAATTTAAGCCTTAGGTTAAAATCATGACAAATGAGCGGGAGGTTCTTCTGCGGTTATGCTTTCGACACCACAAAAAGAAACTTGGAGGTTAGGGAAATAATGGACATTACTACGTTTATACGCAAGTTACTTGAAAAGTTTAATGATAAAATATTTGAATTCTTTTTATTTTTTCTGATAATTAAAAAAAAAGTATTTGAAAAGTTATTTTAGAATTTTGATTGATTTGTGTAACTTTATAAATACAATGTTCAATGAAGCAATGACATAATATTGAATAATAAAGCCATGTCCTAAATATATATTTTCAAAATTAAAATAAAACATTCTGCATTTTAAAAGGCGTGCGTATAAACGTAGTATGGACTATGAGTAGGTAATTGAAATTTGGGGTGCGCTAAAACTACATTCGCAGCGGAACCAACTAAAGTACAAAGTTACAGCTACAACGGGCTAACTACGGCGGGATCGCGGGTGTGACGGAGTGAAGTCCACGGCGGACTCTACTTACGGCGCGAATCCATGCAAAGCGGCCGCATTGTTGGCCGCATTGGCCGACGCAGCCATGGAAGCAGCAGCCGCAGCAGCAGCGGCCGATTGCGACGATTGTGTGGCGCCCGACGCCGCCGACAGACGGGCGGCATAGGCGGCGGCGGCAGCAGCATTTGGATTACCGCTCGGATTCTGGATGGCAGCGGCCAAGGATTGCTGCAATGCTGCATTACTGGCTGCCGTGGGCACGGCGACCGCTTGGAGTTGCGCCAACTGTGGGCCAAGGGCGTGGGCGTGGGCGTGGGCATGGGCGGCATGCATATGCGGATGCGAAGCGGCAGCTGCGGCGGCGGCTGCGGCGGCATGTTGCTGCTGTTGCTGCTGCTGCTGTTGGTGTTGCTGCTGTTGCTGGTGTTGCTGTTGCACCGCCTGCTGTTGCTGCTGCTGCTGGTGTTGCTGCTGGGCGGCGGCAGCAACTTGTTGCTGTTGCTGCTGTACGACGGCCTGCTGCTGCTGCTGTTGGGCGACTGCTGCTGTGGCCACGGCGGCGGCGGCCAGTTGGCGTTGCTGCTGCTGTTGGGCGGCGGCGGCGGAGGCCGCCAGCAGCGCCGGATGGTGATGCGGATGATGGGGATGATGGTAGGGGGCGGCGCCGACCACGCCCACGTGTCCGCGCTGGATGGCCACTCCACGCATTGCGGCGGCAACGGCGGCTGCAGGGATCACCGAACCGATACGGAAATTCGTATATTTTTGAGGGATTCATTTTTGTTTTTGTTTTTTGCAACCATTTGACACAACATTTTTGACCAGTGTGTTTTTTGTTGTTTATATTTATTTATGTATTTTTTTTTTGATTTTGGTTTATGTGTGTGTTTTGTGTGCAAAAAGTAGAAAAAGGAAAAGAAAAGAACATAAAACGCATGCGGTTAGTTTTCTCTCTTGATATATAAGTAAATATTTATATATAGTATATATAGTATATGGCAAATCTAGGCATTATGTAGTAACGATTTTTGTTTTGGTATATATTCATAGCGCTGAGATGATGTTGGTATATACATATAACAATACATAAGACATACGTGTAGCTCATACATATGTAAATGGGATTTATATCGAAACATACTTAAACATTAGAACACTGAATTACCAAGAAATGCTACGCATTAGTTGCATTTTATATTGCATAATTGTATATATAGAGATATTATCATCAACAATACGAAAAAACATTGGACCGATCTTTAGTACAGTAGTATATAGCATATGTACATACATCCATATGTGTACGTATGCGGCAAGACCTTTTTGTTTCAACAACTCATTGCATTTTGCTGTGTGTTTGTGAGGGGTTAAAAGCGTTTAAGTAAATAAAGTACATTTAACTTTTGTTTAACCCTTGCACCTTTCAAATACATTAAAAACTAGCAAGAACATTTATCAAGTGCTAAGTGGAATGATAGAACAAGTAGGCCGATTGAAAAGCAGTTTTGGATTTAGAGAGGTTGGGAATATTTTCCGGACAATAGAGTTTCTCTATAAGGTTTGGATAGGAGAAGAGATTGATTTGCATGCAGAGAGGGTAAATCATAAACGAGAGAAAATAAGAATAAAATCATAAATGCTTATTTGTTATACTTTCGAAACTGGCTTATCAGGTGTTAATAAATTTTTGTATATTTTTCGAGATATCTGATAGTGACGGACAAGAGTCAGAAATCAAAAATGTCTTTTTAAATTATGATATGATTGTTTTATAATTTATCTTTCAAATTGACGAGTTAAATTAATAATTTTCAATGTTTCTTTTTGCTGCAATTAAATTGCATTTAATTCGCAGGTGGCCACGCCTAGCCGCAGTTTAAATATTTTAATTCTACGCGGTTTTATCACTCAATTTATAATAATGGCATATGCAGGCCTCATAATTAACATTTTTGCCAGAAAAGCCGTACGATAACCAGAAAGCCTGCTCATTATGATCGGCCACAGGAATGCGTGGCAATGTGACATTTTCAGTGCAAATCAGTGCACAAATCATAATTGAAATGTATGAAATTATTTTCGAGCTTTGATTGTGAGTGTGTGCTCTGAGTTTGGCAACATAGCGCCACAAATTGAAAATTTGTTTGACCAACATGCAATTAAAAATTCGATTTGCCATATTTGTATGCAAATTTTTGGTCGAAAGCCTGAATAGTTTGAGTGCCAAACAAATTCATAGAAAATTTTCATTGAATTTGAGGGGAAATATTTTTCTAATATGCTTTGCTAATGTTCATGGCTATACAACTTAAATGCTTTGGCAACGAAATAATAAAAGGAACAAACTCAATTTTCAGAGATGGTCTAGGTGGCATGCACAAATCAATTTTTTAAAATTCCATTCGATTTCTGTTTTTGCTGATTTTAATTGGCAAATGGAAATCGTGTTCTTTTCAATTGTTCAAAGCCAAGTTATAAGGACAAACACAAAAATGGAAAATCGTGCAAACTTCAAGAGTAAAAGAACCCATAACAAACAAGAGCTAAAAATATAGGGGGATAGTTGGATAGAGTTAAAAAGAGAGTACGAGAGTATGGTTGCTAGATAGTGATGCTCTAAAGAGAAAGGCCTTACGAGAAATGCTTGCTGCGGCAAAATGATCTCTACCGATAAACGTTACGATATATTCGATAGTTACGATATTGAATTTAGACTATGGTTAAATCTAAGACCTTGCCATTCTTAACAGCTAGTTACGGTTACAGTTTCAGGTGGATGTCGCTAGTTTTGTTTATTTAAAGGATACTGCTTCGATCGAGTGTGTTCGTGTGAGTTTGTGTGCCTAGACGTTGAACAATGCAATCTCAAGGACGCCAAAAAGTATGCAATATTTATGGAATATATCGATAGTCAAATAGTCATACCCAAATGCGTAAACCAAAGTAACAAGACAACAAACATTTATACTGTATTATGGTACAAAGATTCTCATAGCTAAAGAGTTGGTGATCTTGGTTCTGGTTCTAGTTGTTGTTGCAGTGTTTTATTAATACTTTTATCGTATAATCGATTACTATGCTTACAAGCAAGCTTTGAATAGTTATCAGCAAAGCTAATTATGAACTTAAGCCATTATTTTTAAAATCAATTGTTTTATATAGTTTCCGTTACTTTAATTTAGAATCTCAAGTTCTTATAATTTGTTAAGATTTCCAAATCATTTAATGGAAAATTCAATTTAAATTTTTAGGAAGTTATTTAGCGTTTTAACTTTAAATATTAAATTTTTACTTCGTTTTAGAATCTGTTGGCAATTAGCTGGCCTATAAACATAGTAAACGATTTTCTTCATTAGCTTTTTGAATTCTGCTTTTAGGTGCGCGTTTTCATCGAGGACCCTGAGAACAGGATCCTTTTTGGAACTCTTGTGGTCGTCGTACCTCCGCCGTGTCGTTGCTGCTGTGGGCGCTGCTGCTTGGACAGCGGTGTGCGGTGGGCGTGGCGCGAGCATTATGGGTGTGGCCGCCGCTGCAGCCGCGGCATGGGCGGCGGCTGCTGCTGCCGTTGCCGGCGACGCTGTACCGCCCGCGACCGCTGACGGCGCTTGGGCCATCTGCATGGAGACGGGCAGCTGAAGGTGGGTGAGGGCGGGGGCTCCGGCGCCAACGGGGGCGCCCAGGAACGGCCAGGCGGCGACCGGCAGGCGATAACCTTGGATTTGGCATACAGGTGGTTCAGATAAGTTGGGTTTTTATTTTCTTTTTTTTCGATTGGCTTGCTGGTCACCATCAAAATGAACTTAGAATGCAAGTGTGTTAGGTGTGTGCGAAGGGGTTTTTCTGTTTTCATTTTTTTTAATAAATAGTATATATACATAGTCGAGGGATGCATGATGAGGTTGCTGTTGTTTTTGTTGTTGTTGCTTTTTTTGGCTTAGTTCTAGTGCTAAGTTAGACTCTGGTTGGATCTTGGCGCGCGACGAGAGTTACCAGTTACAGTTACGAGAGTACGAGTATAAATAGTTTACGCTAAGGAGCATTTCAGACATGTTCAGACCAAAGGAATACCAGACCAAACGTAAGACGTGTAATAACAATAATGTAAATCAGGACAACAAAGAAATACACAATAATCAAAGTCAAATTCAAATTCATAATCATAATCATAATGGAACGCACATACAACGAAACTGGTTAAGAAAAGGATATGTAGATAAAGTAGTTGGCATGTAAATTGATATATAAAGTATATATAGTAGGTAGTATGCATAAGACAACACAGCCGCAATATGCTAAACTCATAACCATCAGTATAATGATCTCAGTCATTGTCATCATCATTATTCGGCATTATCGATTATTAATATAAAATCAGGACTATAAAGAAAGTGGCGGACGGGCCTGCTTTAAAAACGGGATTTTCGAGCGGGTGTTAATGTGACTTTTTATGATTTAAAATTCAATTTAATTTGGTTTGGTAATTTTAGCTTGCTTGGTATTTTTCACTTTGATTGAACTTTGGTTATATGCAGACGAAAAAAGAATAAATGATAATCCAAAAAATTAAAGGATAAACTTTTACAAACGGTTATCAAATAAGTTGCAGCATTATATTCATATATATGTAGATTGTATGCATAGTTTATATAGATTAACGAAATTTTCGTCGGGACCTACCAAAAAAATAAATTATGTTATATATCTCTATTGAACGAAAGAAAATGCTCGTAAAAATATATATGTACTTTGTCCAAACATATTTGCAGATTGCAACAAAATAAAACTAAGAATAACGAACAAATGCAATCGCAAAAATGGTTTCATTTTGGTGAACTGTGGGACTTTTTAATCCTCCCGACGATGACCTACACATGGGCTTAAATATCAATAGTCATGAAACAGTATCAACATTGGTGGCCTGCCTAAATATTTGTTTTTTCGCTTTCGGTCTTTCGGCTTACGAGCTAAAAAATTCGTTGATAAAACTCTTATAAATACATGTAGTTTTATATGTATGTTTACAGAAACGAAAACTGGTCAATTATTGTACATTTATGATAACTTATTGCTTCTCTGTATGGACGTGGTGTTTATTGTTTAATTGTGTGTGTATTTATTTGAGAAATTACAACGAAAGTACGGCAGGCAATAAATACGTAATAATAGCAATAAAACATTGAAGAGAAAAATGGGGACAAAACGCTTACCTTCTGGCCATTGTACGCAGACTGTGTCCGGCAAGAGATTTATATATATTTTTGCAAATATATTTGTGCATTTTTATCGTTGGCATGGAAAAGGCAAAAGAAAATATTTTCATTAGTTTTGCATTTAAATTGGGTTTTTGTTGCATTTTTTTGTCGGGTTGTCTATAATAAATATTGTTGGATACATGTCTTAGGCACATAAAAAACAGGCAGCTCTATAACAGATACTTGATTGATTTCCTTTTTTAGTGCTTATGGTAATTGGTTAAATACTGTAGAATACTTATTGATTTGTGGCATTGTGTTTTCATTGTTTGCTGTTGCATGCAGCATCCTTGTGTTTTCTCTCATTTGGGGAAAAGGGGTATTTGCATACATGTGTGAATTCAAAACTTATTTTTCACACAGAGAAAAGGGATTTAGACAGATGGTATATCAGTATTTAGTGTACCAAATATGGCAGGCATTCAATTGAAAAAGAGCTTAATCCAGAAGAAATTATAGTTGGAAAGTTTTTAGGTAAGAATGTAACTAATTTTCTAATAGTGAAAAAAATACTTTGGTTAATAAAAAACAAAGGGCTTTTTGCCTCTGTAAGTTTAAACTTTGCATTCATTGCAAATGCTTTCGAAATGCTTAAGAAAATGGCAAATAAGCAAGCAATGATTGCTTCCTTCCACCGATCGAATGATTACACAATGAGCTCTCGTCTCTTTGTGCCATGGAAATTCACAGGAGTCTGCAATTGCCTTGGAAAATGGCAAAATAAATACCCGAAATACCAAGGAAAAATGCAGTAAGAGACATGTCAGACAGAAAGACACCAGCATGAACGGCATATAAAAAAAGGGGAGCAGAGTGACGGGGGATAGGGCGCATTAAGTTTAACATGTCAAAGGATCAACGCAAAAAAAGGAAAACACACCAAGAAAGTTAAAATGGCAAGGAGAAGAGGCAGAAGTCAGAAGAGGGGAAAATTGTGCGGGAAAATCAACCTATACGGAGTAAATTTTCTTGCAAATGCACAAAGTAAGTGTGTGTGGGGTGCACATTTGCATAAGACATAACAAAACATAGGGCTTGGATAAAACGTTCTTGCCCTCAGCCACGCCCCAAGAGTCCTACTCCGCCCCCAGGATAACCAGGAAACTTAACTTTTTTGCTAAATTTATGGGTGTGTGTGTGTGAGTGTGGCTTTTGAGCGGATTGTTTTGCCAGCAGGGTGAGCCACCACATGTTTGCAACTTTGTGGTTTATTTGCAATTATCCCGACTGCCGCTTGACTGACTGTCTGACTGAGTGACTGACTGACTCCTCGGAAAGCCCGACTGCCGCCTAACGAGCAGGACAACGACGTGAGGCGTCCTCCGGCAGGGTAATAATGCAGCAGGCGATTTGCCATGCAAAAGAAGCCAGTTCGAAACGTGATAAAGTGACTGCCAGGACCTAGAGAAAATGGAGCCTGGCTGCTGTCCCTCAGATTCTTTCTTCAGCCTACACTTAACGAAAATATGGAATATTTTCTCCTTTAACATATTTAATACTTCTACACAGAAAATAAAAACGATATGAAATATGGTCATTTCTACCATTTTTCTTATCAATAAAAAGTCGATATGATCTAATGTCAAGTATCTTTAATATTTTAAAATTTCATAGAAATATAAAAATACTGCTTTTTCAAATGTGTATTTTTTATTTTTCAGATTTATCTAATTTAAACTCCACTTTTCCATCTAGATTTTTCTATTTTCAGTTAAATATTGAAAAATAAATACTGCCAGATCATCAGTTTTAAGTCTTTTTTTTTAAATACAAATTTAAAGGGTATTTTTATGATGTCATTTTGCGACATTTTTGTAGTGCACAATAGTACTGAGATGGGCTGCGACAGCCGGTAAACTTCTTGGTCTCCAGCAGCATTTAGTGCAACGCAAATGAAGCGCATTAGGTGCACGTGCACATGGACAAGGACAGGGCCAAAAGGGAGCTGTCAGGATGGGAGGATGCTGCCTGGGAAAATGGCAAACATGGCCCCCTCCCGTCTGCTCAGTCATATTGGCCTTTTTGTGTCCGAGTCTAAGTTTTGTTGGCAATACAAAAGCATTTTGCATCAGCACAAGGATAACCGACCACCAGGGAACAGGAGGACATAGCAGCCAACTGCAGACGGAGATGGAGCTGAAGCTGGAGCAAAGCTGCCAACGTCCTGAGCCGCTTTACCAGATGGCTCCTCGCTTTCCCATCCCATCCTTTTCAATCTCATGCCTTGGGTTTCGGTTCAGTTTGGTTTGGTTTGCTCGGTTTTGTAAGCGGCTTATCGTATTGAACGTACCCAAAGTATAGATTTTGCGCTGTGAATACTTTTTAATGGCAAACAGAGAGAAGACGATTTAATCAGCAGTATTATTTATTATACATTGCATGGAAAAACTTTTCTCGGTTTCAACTTCTTTCGTTCTTCTCATCTCACTTTTTATAGTTATTTCTGCAAAAGGGCGCACAACAACTTCAACTGGAACTGCGCTAAACTGCAAATGGTACAAGAAATAACTAAGAACTTCTAGCTGAGTGAACTTTAAGATGGATATTTTTGATTCTCGAATTTAGAAAGAAATAACATAAAAGTTGGGGTAAAGAGCTTAGTAATCGCACAGAATTAATATGGATTAGGGTATTTCCAAAATGTTTGTATATATAAATTCAAAGAATTGAATGAAATTTAAGAAATTTTATGAAGAACGAAGTATTAGGAAATGAAATAATAGGGAACTCCCACTATCATATAAATAATTAAATACACATGTATGCCACCTGATGCGAAATTTAGAGAAGTTATGGCCTTGACATTATTATCCTATTATTATTTAAAAAGGTGCTCAAAAATCTATAGACTTCTAAATTCCTTTAAAAATATTTTAATAAATTTAAAAATTCGTACCTTTTAGAAAATAAAATATGTGCTATTTCTAGAATCTTTTAGATTTCCCAGCACCTCTACATTTACTCCATTAGCTTTTTAAGCATGCTGGGATGGATTTAAACTTTAGCTTATTTATTTTGTAGGGTATATCGTTTAGGACGAGTTTAAATTTTGATTTCATTCAGCCAATAAAGGGGTGGGCGAGTACACTACACAGTTAGCAACAGTTAACGTGCAACATGCCAAGGCATATCTGAGGACCTCTCATTTAAGTCTAACGATTATATATAGAAGGGCGGAGGGGATCGAAAGCTGCAAGCAGCGAGCATTCGTGTCATAGTTTAGTTTACGTTTTTCTGGCAGGCACACATATTACAAAAACAAAAATATTACGAAATACGTTCATTATTTCATTTTGGTTTTTGTTCTTTGGGTGGGGTTTTATTTTTTTTGGATTTGGATTTGGCTCACCTAGAGCTGGGGCCGGTATGGCACCATCTTTGGTCAGTACAACTGTGTGGGGTGTTTGAGAGAAAACAAAATGAAAATCATATAAATAACGCTGGTCAATCAATATCATCATCATCATCAATATCAATATCATAGTCAAAGCAGAGGCATTAAACATAACTTAATCGAAACCACAAATACGCATTAATTGTGATGTATATTAAATATTATTTTAATGTGTCTTGAATGTGCATTTAGTTAGGCAGCCGCAAAACCCCAAGAAATTAAATTACAAAAATATACAGAAGGCAATGGGGTTATAGATATGTATTGAATATGGTTTCCCGCAAATTAGTGGCATTTCAGTTAACAACTTTTTTTGATTGCTTCAAGCCGGGGAAAATTTTCTAGCGTGTGCTGCCAACGGAAAAAGGAAAAAAAATTGTAACATTTTCATTAGGAAACACACATTCGCCGGCAACTCAATTTCTCAGTTTCAGTTAGTTTCAGTTTTTGGCCACCAAAGAAGTTGATGTGAAAAGTTCCAAAAACAAACAAACAAAACAACGACGAAGAACAAAAAAAAAACGAAAACTTGAGGAATGTTAAGAAACTAAACAATAGCAGCAAAAACAATGCACACTTAAATTGAGCAGACTTTTATTGCTATTTTCGTAGCTTCTGCTGTTGCTACTGTTGCACATTTCATCGTAATTGCATTTCTTAGCCGAACATTTGAACTTGTTTCATTATGTGGCTTAAACTTAGCTGCCATGTATGTGAATATTTTTGTATATATGGCTGTGTGTGAGATTATACGTGGATTTGTCTGTGAGATAGTGTGAGTGTGTTAGGGTCACTTACCGTTGGGTACTGTTGTCACTTTTTTGGTTTGTACACGTGCAGTGGCGTTATTCACCTTCACAATTGGTTATTTTATTTTATTTTTGATAGATCAGCGAGCGTGGTGGTTGTAGTTGTTGTTGTTGGTTTGGTGATGAGTTTTTAAAGATTTTTTTTATTTTCATATACACACATATGAGCAGAGTATATATATTTATAAAGATCGCATGTATAGAGAATGTAGAAATAAATTATGTGTTAGTTAACAATTACAAAATTTGTGGCAAATAGTGTTCAAAGTTTTTGTAGAAGTGTGTATTTCGGTAGGGTGTTTACAAAATTTCTAAAGTCTTTTTTTATTTATTATTTACGACCATTTTATTTTTAAGAACTTCAAAGCTCAAAGTAAAATTTTCAGGATTTTTTACGACAAATATATTTAATGAATGAAAAAAAATGTAAAATGCTCTTTATTTATTGAAATTATTCACTGCTCCTACTCTGTTTTAGGTTTTAAACTTAAATTTTTATGAAATACTAAAAGGATTATTATTTGTTTAAGGTCTCGTAAAAAATAACAAAGACTTTTTACAAAGGACGTTGCCATTGAAATGTTTTTATATCAAACCTGAATTTTATTTAAATTTCATTTGTTTCGATTGAAAAAATGGAGAAAATTAATTTTTGAAGGCTTTCAGCGAACGGACGGACATTCGTTTCCGCTTCCGGTTGCGCCATGTATACATCCACAGACATACGTATATGGAATCCATTTGCGGACACAGGGACTTAATTAGACTCGCGCGATTTCCGTTGCCATTTGCTAGGGAAATAACATTGCATTTCAGCCTTTTATGCGGCTCTGTTAATTTGTTTAACCAACCGTCGGACAGACGAACTTTTCCGTACTTTGCGCATTTTCAGCATATTTTAAATGCCAATTATTTGCGGCTCTCTCCCAGTGAGCATTAATCAGAAAGGAAGGCGAAAGGAGAAATGTGTAATTAATTTTTAATGAAAGGCAAATAAGAATCAATCACTGTGCGCTAGTCCTTGGATTAAATGAAAACCAAAAAAAAAAAAGAAAGGGTAGTATGCTGGATTTTTAAAGCCATATCGCTTTGACACGCAAGGATTAAAAGTTGAAAAGCAATTTCTTTCCGCTACTCCTGCGATACATTTATAACAGTTTGTGTGAAATTAGTTGGGGGTGTATGTGTGTGTGTTGTGTTTTGTGTGTGTTGTGTTTTGTGTGTGTGTTGTGTTTTGTGTGTGTGTTGTGTTTTGTGTGTGTGATGGTAAGTTGTATATGATATGGCATGCACCCACCTCGATTTTGCGTCCCTCAACCACGGTGCCGTGTAGACGTTCGCGTGCTCGTTCTGCATCGTTGCTGTTAGCGAATGTTACAAAACCGAATCCCTGCCATTCGCAATCAAACATGCAATTAAAGAAACATATAGAGTATATAGATTACGATTTTCAAAAAAACTAAAAAATAACGATTTGGTACAACAAAGTCAGTTCTCTTCTTTGGGTTTTGTTGAAGTCGTATGTTTATATTTATAAATAGATAAAGCTAAAGCTACAAATACATCAACAAGGCGGCCAAGGACATGCTTTCGGACAGGGGCCATTGGCACATCTTTTTACTCCTGGGTTTTAAGTGGGGTTGTTGGGTTGGTATTTTGGGTTGGGTTTTGGGTTTTTTTTTATCTTTGGGTGGCGACTGCGACATGCACGTGCCCTACTTTGCCCACTACTCCTCATTCAGCCTCCTTCTCCTTCCCCTGCTCTCCAAACTCCTCTTCCATCGCCCCTCGCTCTCTTGTACTGTCCCCTAAAACTCCTCGAGCATCTCAAGGTGTTGGGGCTCCGGTCCTGAATTATGCACAATTCCTGCTGCTATGGTAACTATGCAATTATTTTCACCAGGTTCCAGACCGGGCATAATAATAATGCTGTAAAAAAGACAACTCGACAAGGTTGCCCTGGCGACGGACAAAGACATCTCATCTGGGAATACTTGAAGTGCATAATTTAAATGAATTGTGCGACAATTAGATGCAAAATGTCCCGCACAATTGGCGGCGGAGCGAGAGCGAAAAAGGGACGGCGACAGTAGCGAGAGACAGAGATGGGTAGAGAGCGAGAGCAGGCGAGCAAAGCAGTTGCAGACGGAGACGGCGAGCTTTTTTCTACAAGGATAGAAAGTTTGGCGAAACTTACCTTGCTGCCGCGCTCGTTGAAAATGATTTCCACATCCAGAATGGTGCCAAATTGCTGAGGAATAGAAAAATAATAAATATTAATATTTAGAAAGCTTTCAAGGGTTTATATTTGGGGACAGTAAATTTCCTAAGGAATATCTCACAAAGAAAATTATTCGCTAATTTCTTTAAAGGAGTTAAAGTTTTAATGAATTATTTATTTCTTTATATGCCCTAAAATACTTCCAAACTATTGATAATTTCAGTGATTACAGTTGTCCCGCTGTCGAAAAGGATTTTTGGTTGTCTTTTATTTATTAAAATATTATTAAGTCCCTTGAAATTTAATACCTTTAATTTGTTTTCATATATCCTGATTTACTTTATTGACACTGACATATTATAAATCGAAATATTTGTAAACTTCGTCCTCTTTTTATTTAGATAAGTAAAGATTAAATAATTTTTACAAATTCTACATAATTATTTTAAGAAATCTATCACTAAACTCACCCCAAACATGGCCCTCAGATCGGGATCCCGAAAGCGGAACGGTATGTTGGAGACGTGCAGCCGTTTCGGCTGACTCTTGGCATCGAGGGAGGCGGCCGCGGCGACGGCGACCGATTGGGCCGGGACTAGAGCGCTGCTGAGACTAGTGGCCACGTTCGCGGTGGGCGACATGATGCCGCTGGCCGCTGCGGCAGCTGCATTCAGGTGGGCGATCACCTGCGATGTGCTGGCCGGCACTACGGCACAACCTGCTGCACCACCATTGGCAATGCTGTCCAATCCGGTGGTGGGCAAGAGTCCAACGCCACTGCTGCTGGTTGCCGCCAATGTGCCGGATGCTATCGAGCTGCCCGTCACCGAAGTACCAGCCGATTGCATCGATGTGGGACTGCTGCACAGGAGCGGTTGCTGTTGGAGGGCGGGCGGCGTCTGCAGGAGCGGCTCACCACTGGCCACCGGCGATGTATCCCCGGACATACTGCCCTCGGTGGCACTGCCGTTGAGAGTCAGTCCGCATCCGCCCGCCTGCGAGGTTGTTACGCTGGACGGGGAGCTGCTGAGCGGTGAACTGGGTGTGCCACCGCCTCCACCGCCACCGCCGCCAGTATTAACGCCACCAGAATTGGGCATGGCGGAGCTCTGTTGGGAATCTGCTGCCTCATTGGCGATCAATACTGTGGACTGCAAGACAAGAAGAGAAATAAATTAATTAATTAGGAGTCGTTTTTGGGGTAATTAAAATTATTTTTTAAATGATTTCATTATTAAGGCAGCTAAAAAAAATTTATTTCTCAATTCTATTTTTCCTTTTTAATTAGCAGTATCCTATAGTTCCCATCCAGTAAATCTTGGACAAATAAACTATTTTTTAAAAAGCTAGCTTCCGTTCTGTTTTTTTCTAAAAAATACAAATTTTTCGTTGCGCAAATAACTCGAAAAGAGAAAAATTTAATTTTCCAATTTCATTTAGTGGAAAAGCGATTTTTGTAAAACTTTCGAAAGCACTCCAGCTGTTTGCCGTTCTTGTTTGCCAATGGTATTTTTTGCAGTTGAAATTTCAGTGCTGCTCGGCAAATCGAATGCGAACAAGTGCCGCAATAAATAAACAATTGAAATGAAAATACAATTTTCAAGTGGTTTACATCCCAGGAGAGAGATGAAAATCCTGTGAGAGGTTGGGGCGGAAAAGCGTGTGGGTTTGGGTTTGACCCAATAAAAAGTTACATACACAGGCGCAGACAATGGGAACACCCAGGCAGACAGACTGGAGGAGAATACAGGGGCTGAAAGCCCCGTGTACACATACGTACATATTTTGTGGCACAAACTTGTGTTGACTTATGCAATAAAACTGTCGCGCAAACTGTTGCAATATACCCAATCCACCACACTGCAGAAGCAATTCCCCAGCGAGCCCGCGGAAATGTTTGCATTTTGTATTTCTGCATTATTAAAACTGAAAATGCACTGCCATCGAAGGGTATTGTTGTTTCAACGCCCCCGCGCTTTCCCCACGATCGGGAATAATATGGAAAAATTCTCAATTTACGCAGGCGACCAAATTCGATGACAATGCAATAAAACTCAGAATGAACAGCAGCGAAAAAAGAAGAGATATTTGCGTTCGCCCCATAATGTAGGCAATAGAAATAACGCTTAACTTAATTTGCTGCGCATTGTTGACACATAAATCTAAACAAATTTTTGCCCGCCCTGACAAAACACATTTTTTCCTCGCTTTGCAGTTCTTTTTGTATTTTTTCTTTGCTTTGGTTCTCGGTTTGCATGTTTACCGAACATTTCGGGACCAAAGTGAAATGGCGTGAAAAACTTTGGCCCCATAAATGGCCAACTGGCGGAGGTGGAGGGTTTATTGTTTCGGGTATCGGGTTACACGTAAATGACATTTAACGCTTTTTAGTTTATCGAAATGCTTTTGTGCGGCACGCGACACGGCTGAAAAAAGGTCTCCGGCGCTGTTTTGATTCGGCATTAAAAGAATTTCTGCATAAATTTGAAAAGTTTTCGACCCGGCAAAAAGGCAAGAAATTTGCTCTAAATTGTTTTGATTTGAATATTTGACTTGGGTATTATTCTTGAACTTTGAATACGTTCTGTGGCCCTACTTTCTAGCTTAAGATCGAATCAGATTGGAGTTCCCTATTCGTTTTATCTTAATTAAAACTGGCATGGCACGGTGACAAATTTTGTATTTAATTATCTCTGGTTTAAAAAATTCCATTTCTTTTAGTTATTAAAATAAAATGGTATCCAATTATATTTAAAATTAAAAAAGTATTATTAAATAATAAATAAATGAAAAACCAAATAAGGATTTCTGTTAATCAACTTTTCGCCAAGCCAAAATAAGACTTTCTTACTAAAAGGGCTTGATGTAAACTGACTCCCCTTAAAAAAATATTTTAAAGATATTGCTTTAAGCCAATAAGCTTCTTTTGCGGTAACAGTACTATAATAGCTGAAATTTAATTCTCTCGACTCAATTAATTATAAAAAGCTTGGCCAGCATCTGTTTTTGCAAAGCATAAAGAACAAACATTTTCCTGATGATGACAATGCATACAAAAATGTAGTTACAAAAGAGTTCAAGTTGAGGAAAAAAGCAGCTTTACCCTGGCCAGTCGGTTGGTCGCCTAATGAAGATGAGCTTGGTAAACAAATAGGAGAACAAAATGGGAGAAAGAAAACATGGTAAGACCAAGAAACTGGCACGTAAATTTCAATTGTCCGCCCGGCTCTTCTCTATATATATTTTGTTGGATTTTTTCACTTTTATATTTTTTCCTCGTCTGTTTATTTTATTATAATTTTTTTGTTGTTGGTGGCTGACTCACTATGCTGAGCACATTTTGTGGGGGCAGCGATGATTGCAGATGCTGCTGGTGTTCTGGTGGCTGCTGCTGCACTTGGTCCATGGCATGTCCATTTGTCAGTGGAAGCGGAATGGGACCTGGGACTCTTGGTTCTGCGAGGCTGGTTCCATTGTACTCGTACTCGTACTGTGTCTGTGTTTGTGTTGACAGATTTGTCTGTGATAAATTTTCAGATAACAACAAGGATTTGCGTTTTAGTTGCAGTTGCAGCCTGCGTGTTTATCTGTGTGTTTCTGTATGTGTGGAGGACTTGGATTAAGAGATAGAGTGTGGAAGTAGTGGGCTAAAAAACCAGACAGGCAGACAGGCAGGCGACCAACACCAACAATTTGCTTAAATGGGTAGCTTAATTTTTTACTCTCAACTGTTTTACAGCTGCTTAATTGCTTGGAGAACATGCCTTGAATATATAATTATAACAGTTACCATATAGAGATTTATTAATATAAAAGTATAATGAATCATGACAAAATGCTTGGTGGTTACAAACTATATGCTGGCTTACAATCATCCAATCCTAAATGAATTATACAAGGTTTCCACATAATAAATCTAAATATTTTTGGATCACATAGTTTATATTCTAGTAAATATATTTTGAAATGGTAACTAACAATATAGATAAATAATAAAAATAAAGAAACTGTTCTTGCTTTACGTCACTTATAATTTATGTTTGATTTATATGTATGTCAAGTTTTGACAGCCATTTCAGTTGTTGTTTTACTTTTGCCAATTAATATTGATAAACTTTTGATTGAATACAATTTTCTGAGTAATTGAATGTGTGACCGAGTGGAAATAAATACAATTCAGCTGACCAAAGTTGTTGCACATTCAAGTGACTTAATCCTTAGATTTAATGCACATTCAAGTGACTTAAGACTTAGATTTAATGTTTAAGATTACTGAAGATTTTTCACCTCATTTACTTTAACTAACCACGGACTTTTGTGCCACACGCACATAAATATGCGTATTAAATTCCCAGACCATGTTTAAGTCGAAAACTAATTGGCATTTTCGGTGCATTTTGCCGCAGGCCAAGCAAACACGAGCAACAAAAACAATGCAGCTATTGATAGTTTGAGAATTGATATTGTTCAACGTGGCGAATGCGCATTGTTCGCATATAAGAACACACTATTTAATTAATTGTGAACTATGTAAAACAGAAAGCCGGTCAAAGGTTAAAAAACAACAAAAGCACAAACCGTATATAGTGCAATTAATTCAATATTTGATTATTTATTACACCTGCAAGGCAGAAATTTAGTTCCAAATAAATGCAAGCCACATGTTTGTACACATTAGGCTCCATGTGAAAAATACACCTAATGCTCTCATCTGTTAAATTATTCAAATGCACGAATCAATTTTCATAAGCAAATATCTCTTGGGCAAATATCTCTTGTATTTATTTAAACTTTGTTGGACCAAAAACTGTTGATTCCCCATTTTCCATCTCGACTTTCTGCGTCGAATAAATTTTTGTTTTGCTTTCCGCAAAGTTGGTAAAATATATAATTTGGGTTTTTGTGGAATGCAACTACTGAGTTGAGGGATATTCTAGGAAGCCCCTTGCAAATTTCAGCCAACGTGTGTGCCATAGTCAATTTTTAATTAGAAGCGAAGAAACAATAAACTACAAAGCATACTGAAACCCAGCTCCAGGGTCAAATGAGGAACGAGGGCGACCAGCCACTAAAAGTATGCTACAAAAAGGACCAACACAAACACACATAAATGCAGATGAGGCAGGTGAGTTTGTGTGGGTGTGCGGATGTGTGTGTCTCTATGTGGATGCCAAAGTGCGTGAGTGTTGCTAGCTGTTGGCATTTTTCTCTGTGCTGCCTCGCTGCAATTAAAAATGTAAAAGCAAAGCGCTCACACCAACAACAAATACTGACTAAACAAGAGCAGGTGCAGCTGCGATAACAAGCACGGCCTCTATTTGAATGCCCTGGCCTACACTGAGATAAATTATTATAAAATGTCATGTTACAAAAATTAAAATAGCTTCGAGAACTACTTAGTTAACATTTTAAAGATATTAGTCTGCGATGTAAGAAAATATTAAAAATGTAGCCTTATATTTTATAGAAACTTATAGAAAATAAATATGAATCAATTAAATTATGAGTTCTCTGGGTTTTTTTATTTTTTAAGTATGAATTTAATGATCAATGATGTATTAAATATACATATATATTTGTGTTGTATTGTGGGCAGTAAAATATATTCAATAAAATTCTAGAAAGTCAGACCGCTTCCAAGTAATTATATTTAATAAAATATATTTAAAATAATAAATAGACATTTACGGGTTTTTCTGTGTAGTAATGAGTTGCTATGAATTTTATTTCAGTGTAGCGTTGCTATCTGTGTATTTGTGTGAGTTGGCATCTGTGTATTGAGTGTGCGTAACCAAATCAAAGGCAGAGCTATAAACCAAAGCAGACCAAACCGAACCAAACCGAAGCGAACCCAGAAGCCAAAAACCAAACACAGCTACAAATGCATATCAAAGACACACAAACACAAACAGAGTGTGGGAGCGAGCGAGTGGGTGGGTGGTTTCGGTGGGTGAAAGTATGGAGGAGTAAGTAAGGGGGAGGGGGAGTGGGAAACAGGTGGGGGAAGGTCAAACAATTATCTAGGCAAACTCACCTTCTGTTGCATGTACAGCGAGGCATTGACAACGTCGGAAACACTGGTGGCCACCACCACCGGATTGGCCGTTGATGCACCACCGCCCCCGCAGCCAGTTGAATATTCTGTGGTCAAGCCTCCGGCGGATCCTGGCGCTCCTGCCACCACAGCTGTGTTGTTATTGTTGCTGGCAGATCCTGCGGCCTCGCCGCCCGACTTCATTTGGGTCACTGGATCGGCAGACTGTTTTGCAGCCGCCGCTGCCACCGCCATTGACAAACTGTCGGCAGCGGTGGGCGGTCCTCCGGCCACCTGTTGTTGTTGTTGCTGCTGCTGTTGCTGGGCCTGCTGCTGCTGCTGTTGTTGTTGCTGCTGCTGAGCGGCGGCCGCTGCTGCAACAGCCGCTGCTGCAGGATTCGGTGCGGCGGCATAGCCGGCCGGAGCGCCCGGAAAAGGCGCCACGCCCGCCTGCACCATGTGCTGCATTTCCAGAAAAGAGATCAGAAAGAGAGAACGGGGAAAGAGAAGCAGAGAGAGAGAGATGGGTTTATGGATTAGTAATGGTCGTAAAAGTGTAAGTACCCCCTATAGAACCCTTGAAGAAACACGCTCTTTAAATCTGTTTAGGAAAAATACTCCTTAGAAGTTTTAAATCAGTGATAACTTATCAACATTAAATACCAAAGTTAATTATTTAAAATTTTCGAAAGAGGATTTGAAGCTTTTTCTTTGTCAAATATTTTTTTTAGCAACTGTTTACAAAAAATAATTTTATTAGTTTTTTCACAAGGTAGAGTTTTTGTTTTGCCAACACTAACAATAATATTAAAATGTGTTACTTAGAATAGAACAAAAAGTTGATCAAACATCAGTATTTATGAAAAACATAACAGTAAAAATGTTTAAAAATATTCTTACATTCGCTTCGAAAGGCAAATATTGTCGCCATTTTATTAGGTATTTTAAGTCAAAATATTAAAAACAAAAAAATTTCTTTAAAGGGATATTCTCCCCAACAAAATAAACAACCTTTTCGAGTGCACATTTAAAATGAACATTATGAGTATTAGTTTTTACCCAGGTACACTTTTCATACTTCTTGAGCTTCCCCTTTTCCCTGCTTTCTTGCTAAGCATTTTCCTATTTGTGTGTGTGTCTGGTGCCGTGCCGTAAAAGTGCAAAATTAAATCCAGGTAGTTTATTTTGCAGGTGGTAACCCCATCGGGAGCTGGTCCAGAGCTTTCCGTATTAAGCTCTTGGTTAGACAAAGGACACAGACAGACAAGCAGGCAGTCAGGATGTGGGCCAGGATTTCGTTGGGTTTTGGGTTTTTTGGGAGGGATAACAAAATGCGCTTTAAATTGTCAGTTTTATTTGTATAAATTTTTGCCATTATTTGGCTTGTCTCGCCCGGATTTCCCAACCCAACCTCTGTCAGCAGCTATGAAATATGCAAAATTTGCAGCTTATTGTTGGTTGTTGGCTAAATTCGAATACACACATATAGGAGCAACATGGCAAGGCAAAACGAAACTTTTCTGGATATATTTTTTTGTATTTGTTCGGGTGCTAAAATGGAAAGAACGAGGCTTATCGTGCGAGTGGCATTTTAATATGTTTTCCCTCTGGCCCAGATGCTTACATGAAATGGTTATTAATTTTGCGATTTAATGCAAATGTCACAGAAATGCAGGTAAGTGGTATGACTTAAATGCTAAATACTGCCAAATATTTGTGCTTTTCAATTAAGAAACGTTGTACATGTTTTGTGCATGACATTTGGTTGCGAAAACACACTGAATAATATGCCTCCGTTGTTGTTGCAGTTTAGTTCGTTTAATTGGTGTAGTTTAAAAATACCCAAAAACGATTTTAAATACCTCCTAGACGTTCAACTATTTCATCCGTTGGACACAGTTCATCTATCATGCCATGCATAAGCTATAAAGGCAGCTATTTCAACGCGCTATGGGTAGTATTTATATTTGTTTTCTTTTTATTTATATTTATTTTGGCACAGGCCATCAAACTGCAGTCGTCATAGTTGTGTGTGCGCTCTGTTTCGGCTTCTTGGCGATTTGCGCTTTGAAAAATTAGCTTGTTAATTAAATGCAAGCCACAAATGACAAGTCGGCGAGGTGCAAGTATCTGTGCCCTGATATTCCCCCCTCAACTTGTGACATAATCCGCAGTGTGCAAATTGGTGCTCATGTTGCTCATCCGCCACGTTGGCCAACCCATGATATATGCGCACTCTAACACAAACGTACTATACCTACACACACACACACCTAAGCGTATATCTAAACAGCGTGTACGAAAAATAAAACTTGTCATGTTAAATTTACATAAAAATTTGTATGAAAATTCATTCTGTTGTGCCAATGAAAATGTTTTTCCCCCGCTATTCCCCCGCTTTTCCGACAGCTGCTGACGTAGGGAATGTGGTGACTTGCACTTGAGCACCACAACCATCTTCTCTTAATGAGTCTGCGTATGTGCTTGTGTCTGGGTTGCTTTCTGTGTCCGTCTAAAGTTTTCCTTTTGAAAAACTTCTCCCTTAAACAACTCCCAATAAGTTTTCATAATTTTCTGTCAACGCTTTCGAGGGCGGGCTGGGTCACAGGCTCTTGAAGCGAATACTTCGCTGCATTCGCAAATATTTTTCATTTAATTGCTCTTGAACAGAGAGGACGACAGAGGGGCCAGGACGAAAAGAATATTCTTTTTATATATATTTTTTTTGGGGGCCATATTTACATGGCAAATATTTCGTTCGGCACTGCGGCCCTGGCAATTTGCATTTGTAGTTACTCTGCAGAAAAAAAATAAAATAAAAAAACAACAAGAGGCAGCTGGCACTGTTTTATTGACTGGGGCCAGCGCCAACTGCCATCGCTTTTTGTTTACATTCGCCACTGTTGTTTTTGGAGAATTTTCAACAAAACACTTTACGTTTCCATTTTGCAACAATTTCGCTCGCTGCGCTTTCAAGTGCCCGCGTTTCAAGCGTTTTGTCTACCAAAGATTTTTCGGCGATTCAATGCAAAAAAAAAACACAAAATATTAGAGCAATTTTCCATTCTCATTAAATATATTGCATTTTGGCAGCACACGCTGCGTATGCGTTACGTTTAAGTGTGTCACACATTCCACGGCTGGTGATTGATGGGCGCCGCAAAAAATATTATATATATTCCTCAAAAAACATAAATAATGAAAGAAAAATGCGTTCAAATATTTGTGGGGGAAGCCTGAAAAAATCACGCTGGGAAATGCATTTCAAAAAGAAGCAAAACTGGAAAAGTGAGTGAAATATAATTACACTGGCGAACAGAAAAAAAGTTTATTTTTATTAGGCACTGTGTAAATAAATAAAAACATACAATATGTCCATTAGCTCTGGTACTTTCTTTTTTATTCAGAATTTTTATTTGTTTATTAAATAATCCTTAGATTTTTTAAAAATGATTTTATATTAACATCTTATAATTATATTTATACCCGTTACTCGTAGAGTAAAAGGGTATACTAGATTCGTGCAAAAGTATGTAACAGCTAGAAGGAAGCGTTTCCGACCCCATAAAGTATATATATTCTTGATCAGGATCACTAGCCGAGTCGATCTAGCCATGTCCGTCTGTCCGTCTGTCTGTCCGTCTGTCTGTCTGTCTGTCTGTCTGTCTGTCTGTCTGTCTGTCTGTCTGTATGAACGCTGAGATCTCAGAAACTACAAAGCTAGAAGGTTGAGATTTCCACACATATTTTTGGCTTCCTACGCAGCGCAAGTTTATTTTAGCCGAGCGCCACGCCCCCTAACGCCCACAATCGCCCACTAACGATTTTAAAATGGGTCCTGCGCCCAATCTTTAAAATTTCCGAGAAGTATAAATGCAATTTTGTTGTGTATATTTATACCTATCGAAATGTAGAAGACATTTTTCAAATCGGACCATTCATTAAAAAGTTATACGATTTATAAATTGTCAACATATATCTATCTCCCTCGCACTCCCTTTAGCTGAGTTACGATTATTAGTCGGTACACCAACCAGACACAGCGTTCGCACTCCCTTTAGCGGAGTAACGGGTATTAGATAGTCGGGACACCAACCCGACTATAGCGTTCTCTCTTGTTTCATTTCACTTTGATCTTATGTTCCCTTCACTTATGTATTCTTTCTTGGTAAAAACAAAAATACCTTAAAATATCACTCACATTTTTGTTGAATAATGAACCAAAATATTTAGACAAAAACTAAACAAACCCGAAAGGCTGCCACACTTGTCAGAAGTCAAACCAAATTATATATAAATAATGTGTGCGCTTTCAGTCGCATTACATCAACGGAATATTAATAAACCGTGACGTGAATGGCGAGTGAAATTTTTTGGTGTGCCTTGACTGCGTACTTTCCTCCAATCTTTTCGGCCGTGTGCGTCCGTTTCGATTAGCATTACCCATTACCATTACCCATAACATATTCCTATGCCAACTCCCCAGTTTGAACCTGACACAGTCAGAAGGCATTTGACCAATTGCTCAATCGCTGACGCAATTCAGCGATCGAAGCGCCAATTTTGGTCTACGATGCAATGGCGAATTTGGGGCGACGCTCGTTAAAAAGCCGGGCCAACTTGGTTGGTTGCTGGCTTGGCTCATGACGCGAATGCCAATTAAAGGCTACCAATTGAAACTGAAAATTTGCCTAACACGCGCCAACCAATTGTTTGATTTAAAGTTGCTTTGGTGGGTGTCTCTTTGGGCTTTTATTCAACTTGTACTGATTTTTGGTGATTGCTCAATGGGCGGATAACTTGCAGGTCACGTCTGTCGCCCAGATTGCATTTGGAAAGTATTATATCGATGTCAGGGCAATATGTCACTGCCTATTTTGGAGAGATCTGATCCGGTCAGGTATTTTACTTTTTTTTGGCCTGGTCGAAGGTCACATCTCCATAATTGCCACGGAAAGCAAAATGCAGAACGTGCCAAATCAATTTACATGGCAATTTCTATCGTCAGAGCCAGCCAAGGATATTAAGCTGGAGAGCCAGTCCTTGTGCAAATTAGGACACTACACACAAATACCAGAGAGATAGAGTGAAAGCTTTTCTGCCTCTGTCAGTTTTCGGTTTTTGCGAAAACAGGAAATTACAGCGAAAGCGTGTTGAAGTGTAAGAGGAAGTTCAGGTGTGAGGGGGTTGTGTTGTGACATGTAATATGACTGCAGAAATTGCTCTGCAGAATGGCTCTGAAATTGCAGCACCGAGAGCTACAAGATACAAATACTCATGTGTGTGCGTAGGTGTGTGCATCTGTTCGCAAATCAACAGAACGGAAATTTATTTCAAAATACACAAAATGCCATGTTCGCCACTCTGCATCCTTTTAATAAGACAAACACTACATCATCACACATCCCATCGCAACGGCAGCGTGGGTGTTTGGGTGGAAATTTAATGAAAAGCGCGTCACACGTCTCGTATACGTAATGAGCACTGTAATGCAATAAGCCCCGCCGCCTCTGCTTGTCTATAATTAAGGCTCAGCTCGCAGCTCAGAAACACGTTGCGAGCCAAGGATAAAATTACCATTTGAAAATGCCATTATTTAAATATGGTTTTTTGAAAATTCGGAATGGTAAATTGCTGCAGTTATTCATTTAATTATCCTGATCAAATTTCTGAGCTTTCCGCATTTTAATGAAAATTGTTGAGAGAGAAAATTATTATTCGAAAAAGGCAGGTATCAGATTTCACTAATTTTTAAAATTATAACAGAAAATTCGAAAAATACGTGGATTTCTTTCCTTTATTTAATTAATTTATCTATTTATTTAATTTATTTATTAAAATTCATTGAATACCACAAAAAATATATAAGCTACTTCTTTAACTAAACATAAAAAATTCAATTGGATATCTAGTGAAACCACCCATGAAAAATAACTTTTGGTTATAGCCCCTTTAGCCGAACTTTCTGAAATTGCTTGACCATTTTTGTCCATTAACCTTAAAGTTACGAAACACGAATAGTAAGCCAACTTTATGAATGAAATTACGGCCTCGCCAGGCCAGAGCAGTGGGCAATAACTGACCAGGTTAGCAGTGGAAAACTGCCACTGCAAAACGGTAAACCTAAAACGTCAAATGCAGGTGCCTACAGCAGCAATATCCACAACAACGGCAAAACGTTTGGCAACGGGAAACGGCAAAAACCCAACCAGAAACGAAAAAAGGGGGAAAAAGACGAGAAGAATAGATGGCCCTAGGCGAGCTTGGCTAAGCCATAAAACCGGTTGGTTTAAAAATCGGGATATACAGAAGGGAAAAACATGAGGACGGGGTGCCTGCCTGCGCATCTGCAAAAAACCAAAAGCGAAACTTGAACTGCAGCCCGGCATTTAAATGCGGTTTCTGTTACCTCGTGCAGACCATTTTTTTTTTTTAAATATAAAAAATAAGATTTTTTCTGCTTTCTTGGGTGCCACTTTAGTGTGTCACTGGGCTGCCCACATAGCATTTTCCATAGTTGTTAATGGCCAACCTAAAGAAGCCGAAGATGCATCACGGCTGTGCTGTTGTTGATGTTATTGTTGATGGAGCTGAGGACTGGTTTGCCATTTAAATGGAATTTATGCTGCCTTACCCAAAGTCGAAACTCCAACTCCGAGTCTGTCATCATCATCATCATGCAGCTTTGCCAAATGAAGCATGAAGCGAGTGAATGGGAAAAAGTAGCACACACCCACACACACACTTGGAAAAAACACCATAAAATAATAACTATTTTTATGGTTAAAAAAAAAAACTTTTCAAAAAGCAATAAAAAAAAGGAAACATTTTAATAAAAACTTAATTTCAATAACCTTCATTTTGCAAACAATTTAAAGACCGAAATAAACTAATTTAGCTTCAAAATCAAGTATTTTAAGTACCAAATAATTCCAAGTGTATTTCGTAAAACCCGCCTTCATCCCCTTTAAATGGCGAAGGCGATCAACTAAACCTTAATGCCAATGGAAACGTGAGAATGTCGCCGCCTCCGAGAGTTGAAGATGCACTTTCGGTTCGCTTCTTATTCGAAGATTTTTATCACCAAATTTCGTTGGGATTTTCCTTTTGTCGCATTTAGCTTGAGGGCCAATGAAAAACTACGTGAAAAACTAACAAAACGTGAGCGGAAAATTAAATAATTGAAAAGCTACTGTGCTGAGTGAGGAGGGGGAAAGGAAAGTGTGCGAAAGGTCGATAGATAGATAAATGCATTGTGATTACTCACTGGCTTAGCAAATGAAAACGAAATTGGCCATTGACCACTCGCTGTCTACCATCGTACATATAGGTACTAAATCAGCACCGAAACCCTCGGCAGTAGCACAAAAATCAATATAAATAAATGAAGACAAATATCCAAGAGCACACAAAGAGTGGAAAAATAAAATAAATACATAAAACAAAAAGCGCAGAGATCTTCACGTTCCCTCAACTTGTCAATAAACAAGGCAAAATGTGAGTGAAAAAACTCGCACAAATACCAAATAAATTTTTATTTAAGAGCAAATGTTTGGCTATGCAAACGGCGTGCCACCAACAGACAGAAAGACTTGAATTATGGCAGCCGAACGATGCGTTGACAAGACCAAAGGAAATAAAAAACCAAAAATAAAGAGCAACGAGGGGAAAAAAGCCGAAGAAATTAAAGGCCCTGTCAATTGGCGCACCATCAAAAAACATCACAGACAAAAACAAAAAATAAACCGAGATAAACTTTACTTTTATTTCATTTCGCCTAAGCATATATATTTTTTGATGTGGCTTCTTTCATGGGCTAACAGGCATCATGAAAGCGTGTCGAAAGGGCTGCAGCAACGAAAAGCATTTGAAATGATGCGAAACCCAGGCTAAATACGTGGCCTCCTCAGAAGTATGGAAACTCAGCATGTTTGATGTTCAGCTGCACTTTCCCAGTTTTCAGTTTTCTCTTTTAATTGGATAGCGATATTATCGAGTGGCCGAATTTAGTTTGGTTGACATCGTTACGGAATGATAAAGTACCAATCTGAAATCGCCAATTGAAGCAAGAGTGCAATCAAGCCAGAAATATCACGTTACATTGGCACAATTACTCCCAGGTTCATATATATTTTAAAGATTGCACGGAGAGAAAAAAGGCAGCAAAGGTATCATTTATTATACAAAAAATAGGAATTACCCACATAAATTAACCTAAAAAAAACAATTTTTTTGTTTTTTCACATGATTTAACATTTTTTTAATCAAACAAAACTTTGACTGATAAATAAAAATATTCCACATTTTGTTATCTCAATTTTACCCTATTTAGTTAATTTGTTCACTTGTATTCAGGGTGGATAAAAACCATATGTCGACTCCCCAATGAATTGAACCCTTGTTATTATAAGCGCATTTATTTCTGATCAGATAAGTGCTAACATAATTGCTTTCGATACGATTGTTTTTCTCTGTGTGCCCAAGAAGTCGAGTTTAGTTGCCTCTATTGAATCACCCCCAAAAAGCTAGACCAGCAATTGAGCAGCATTTTAGCTGTGATTTCGCAACAAATAAACGACTCTCATGATTGCACCGATTGCAGCGAAATCGAGACGCTGTCCGTTGTTGTTGCCATTGATTGATTTCCGCGCTTAGACATTAAATGCAATCAAAGTAACAATATTTGTCCTCTAGACACGCCCACACACCCAACGATGTCAAGAATAAATCCGGCAAAACCCCCTCCCCCTCCATTCAATCTATGAGGAACAACTCTTCAATAGAAACCCTTAAGCTTTCTTTATACGGTGCACAAAAAAACACACGCAAAGCTCCAAGACGCTTATTAAATTGCCTCCCAAAACAAGGCCCAAACAAACAAAGCAAAACAAAACTGAACAGAACGTACATACATAGTCAAATAAACAAGCAGTCGAAGCGGAAGGAACTAACGGCTGAAAAACAAAAGCTTACTTCCGGCCACCCATTGCCCCAACCCCACAACCTTTAAGTTTATGAAATATAAATGAGCTTTGTGAGCATTCAAACAGTAAGAAATCCAAAATTACACGCAATTTATGGATGAAGCAGGTGCAGGAAGTGGGCGTGGCCGGGGGCCATTAAGTTGGCTTTAAAGAGCACGCGACAAAATGGCGCTACACAGGGGGAAATTACTAGGTGATTTGTAAAAAAGTCTAAATTAACAAATTAAATTAAACAAAAATAAAGTTTACTTTGTAAATACTTATAATAAACAAGTCGTTAAAAATGTGTAACTTTTCGGATTAGAAAATTTGTATACATTTACCACAAAATATTTAAAATATATATTATTCAAAAATAAAAAAACAAGTTTTAATAATACGAAAATCATACACTAATATTATTCAAAAATTCATAATATTTCGCTCCATACTTCTGTTATTTCTTTATTTATATTTTTATATTTCTTCATTCTATTCTCTATTTGAAATATTTTTTCCCACTGTAATGAATGGGTTAGGGTATGCGGGCGTTGTACGGCAATTACCGTTAAGCGGATTGTAGTTTACACTCTCTGTTTTGCCACATACACAGAACTAAGCTAGAACTAAATGTGCATTCTTACGGTACGTTTTCATTTTCATTCCCATTTCCCTTTTCCCGGCAGGCGTTATTGTTATGACCCACTGGCATTTCCACCTGTCTCGCTCTGCGCATTTTCACACTTGTAAATCAATTAATTTTACAGCTTATTGTTGTTGCTGTGAATGTATAGCTGCCACCGTGGTTCTGGCCACTGGTCATTTGGCTACTGGACTACTGACTACTGTACTACATGCTACCACCACCTGCTGGTTGGTCATTTAGCCTAAGCGCCGGCTAAGCTCAAAATGCTCAAATGCTCGACTGGGCCAAGGATTGTGAAGCCTCTGCAGTGCCCAACTCGAAAAGCAAGTGTTTGTGTGTGTGGGAACTTTTGTTTCCCTTTTGTTGTTTTTGAAAGCAAATTGTTGGCTGTTAATGTTGTTGCCTGTTGTAGGTTGTTGTTCGCGCTGACTGGATTTTCTGATTTGCTTGAGCGGCGACCGTTGAAATGTAATTAATACGTGGCCGACCACTTGGTCTCACACATTCGGGGTCAATTGTGTGTAAAGGAGCGCCTCCGCAATGCGGCGAACGAAAGGTGATTATTATGGCTCTATAGGCAAGAAAGGGCTAAGAACCCGCAGGGATTAAATCTGGGAGTTTAAGCAAAAAAAGGAATTTGATTTCCGCATTTCGGGGTTTTTTCTTTGAAAATCGAATAATGTTAGTACCACAATAAAAATTTGTATTAAAAAAAAGTTGTATTTTTTTGACTTTTTTCAAAAATATTTTTTTGAACAAGGCAGGCTCTTTATCAATTGTATGTTATTATCTATATAACAAAATTCAGAAGGTTTATCACAATCTGTGTGTAAATAAAAGTTTTTTTATTTCTTATCAAAATTTTAAGTATAAAGATTAGTAAACTATTTTTAAAAAGTTTGTACTCAACATGTCTGAAAAATCTCTAGAAATATCCCCGAATGGTTCTTTAACATTTACACAAGTCAATAACAGTCATGAAATCACCATAAGAAATGTTTCCAATAAGTCGGTGACCTATAAGGTGATAAATATTATAAAGCTTTTCTCTAATTTGTACCTTTAAAACAAAATTCCATAAAAAAAATCAATATTTTTATATAGGTGCAAAGCACAGTGTATGGCAAGTTCAATATCCGACCCCGCTGGGGAATCCTGAATCCCAACGAGCACTCACATGTCCTCATAACGATGTGCAAGGATGCCGAGCTCTCGAAAAAGGGCCGCGACAAGATAGTGGTCGTCTGCATGCTGGCGCCCATCAATGCCGTGGACTTCGACATGACCTCCTCCTTCTGGCGCCACAATATCTGCTACGATCCGAATATCGAGAGGCACCAGCTCACCTGCCAACAAATGGATGGAGGTGGCGAGGGCGGTGATAAGGACCCCAAAGAGGTGGAGGACCCCGGTCTAAGGATTCGCAGCAGGGGGCTATTCCCCTCGTTCTGCAGTATTCGCACGCCCAGCAAGTACTGGCGCTAGTTTTTGGATGGGTGGAGTGTCAATTATCCCGCCCGACTATTTCGCCCTAATGGCTGCAATGACTAAGTAATTGGTTAGCAGCCCTATGATGTCTTGCCGTGTGCCTCTATGGGCCAACATTGTTGATGATGAGCCTTCATTAAAAACTAAGAGCTTGTCTGTCTCCCTCTCTCTGTGGGTATGTGTGTTGGGTATCAAGTGGCTCGAAGGATGCTCAAGGATCCTGGTTACATGAAGTGCGTTTACCCCACACAACTGGCTGATAAAAAGACGTAAATTGCTTGCATTTGCCGAGTGGAACTCGGGCTCTACATTCGACTGGCAATTAGGCAAACGTTAACGAAGGCTTTTGAACTTTGGATATATTCCCATCGATTGACATTCTGTTGGGTCAACCCGGTTGCCCGGCAATTAACCAACCACTTTTGTAACTCGAAGCGTTAAGCAATTAAAGGGTCGAATAATGTTGAGTGGCAAGTGAAGCCATAAAAAGTTGTGGTTTGGCTTTTTAAGTGGCTAAAGAAAAAAAACAGCAAGTCGAAAAACACTGAAATTAACTTGAGTTTTTAAAAAATATTTCCTATAAGAATATTTAGAAAATAATATTTTTGTATTTATTTTTAAATTCAGCTGGAAAACCCTTTATAAATCTGGTTAGCCATCCCTCTCATTCACAAGGTTTATGGGCTAAAAGAGTGCTTTCCAACGGCAACGAGATAAAGACATTTGGAAATTCTTTGCAAAAGGCCAAACAGCATGAAAGGCACTCAGCCAGTAAATTAGGTTCATGTCTCAACTATAGTTTTGACCCAAGTCCAAGGGGCCAAAACAAACATTTCGATGCCGAAATGCCGATGATGATGTGGACTTGGGGTTTTGCGGGGGCGTTGCCAAAAACTGGGCACTTGTTCTGCTCGAGCTGTGCTGTTTGTTGTAGGTACTTTGGGGTGGCCAACAGCCCTGAACAATGGAGTAAATCATAGCCATGAAATATGTGCCAAGCGAGGAGACGACTACACCTGGCTGGTAATAATAATGAAAATACAAAATAGCCCAACTGTTGTGGGGGCGGGCGAATATTCATCGCTGGCTGACTGGCTGGCTGATGCTTCACCTTGTGCAATTGCAGTTTGTTTGCCCGAATTTACGAGCCGGCACAAAAAGCAAACGTGACCAGTGGAGGAACAACATACAAATATTTTCCTTTTGGCCAAATAAAACACAAAGGGAGCAAAACACACAAAAAATAAATATAAAAATGTAATAAAATTGCAGCTCATGCGAGCGATAAAACGCAACTTCCTTCTCCCCTCCTTCACTGGGAAATCTCAGTCGTAAACTATACAATGACTTAACCCTTTGGTGACCCTCTGGGCGGCTCCCCCAGTTTTTCCTGCTTTCTGCATGATTTAATGCGTAATTTTCAGGAGTTTGCAAAATTTTTCGGATAATTTATCATTTTTAGATGGTTTTTGGTAGGGGATGAGGGAGGAGGACCGAACTTTGAGCTGGGATTTCTCCATTTTTTGTTGGCCACAACGACACCTGCCTCTGGCATTTCCACCTTTCCGCCCGTGGACCATTACAAATGGCTTTGGATGCGGATGCAGAGGCCTGGAGGCAAAAATTTGTGACCACAGCCCCATTGACATTTGAGATTTAGTGGTGAGTGGACAGGCCATCGACCATCGCCCATCGCAGCCTTAATTAAAATTTCCCCATTGAAATGCGGGCGGAGAATAATAAGCTGCCGGCACAAGCTCTGTTGATAAATGTCCTGGGAATTTCACAGGACTTTCAAAGGTCTTGCGCCAAAGGCAGCCCGAATTTTATGGAAATTGTTTTTACTTAAAGTGTAGGAGCTAAAATTTATTTGCATGAAAACTGCTCCAGAGTGGGAAGTAAATTTGGTGAAAATTACACAAAACTTTTTGGATTAGAGCTAGGAAGAAGTTTTTTTACAGGGGAAAAAAACTCCCATTGAACTTTTGTTATGATAAAAAGTGTAGTTTAGACAGAGATTTGGTTTACGATCTAACTAAATAAATGAAGCATAAAGTTTTGGGCGAAAGCTTTGGAACAGGTTCATCAAATAAAAGAAATTGGAGAATATTCACCTATATTTACTGTAGTTTTTCGTCCCTAAGAGAAATAACTAAAAGTTCAGTTTATTAGTTTTTACTCGCTTAATTATCCTGGAGCAACTTGTCTTCTTGTTACTCTCTGGATAGAATTTAAAACTCATGTGGAACACAATTTTCTTAATTAAAAATTATTAAACTTTTTTCATGCTTCGCCTGTTCCAATCTAATTGAAATTCAATATGCTTTGGGGTTTGTGGATCCATCCTTTCTACCCACATCAAACTATCTCCTCGGAAGCAATTAAAAATGTAATGCATATCCTGGCCTTTGAATTATGTTTTCCCATCCCAAGCAAAGCGAATTCTTGGTCTTCAACTTGTGCCTTCTGGCTTTTCCTCATCCCGATCTAAGTATTATGCATGCAATAGCAAATATTTTGGGAATTTTTGATATGAGAGCACTTGCAAAATATGCAATTGGAGCAGGCAGACTTTGAGTAGGGCCAAAATGGAGTCGATTTTAATTATCCAACAATCATTTGCATACTTGGACGTTGATTCCCTTTGACCCTCATGAGAGTATGGTGTTGCCAGGTAATCATTTTCATCTCAACACTGAACGAAAATGTGTAACGTTCTACTTGACCAATAAATCGGGAATGAAATCGTTTTAAAAAATTATTATTAAATATAAATTGTGAAAGAGGCGACCGGTATTATTTTCATTTTTAAGTCCCACTTCTCTTTCAACACCTATAAATCAAGTCCTGCAATTCTAATTCGCGTTATCAAATTCCCCCGTATACGAAGTCCAATTAGTGGAAGTTAGCTTGCTTCACTGCACTGGAATTTGATTGATTCTCAGGTGCAGAGCATCATACATTGCATAGCATGGTACAGTCTCCCCTCGACATCTTGTAATTTGTCGTCTCATCTGGCAGTGTTTCTTCTGCTCGGGGTTTTTCATTCCATTTACCCCCTACCCATAACTCTTACACACTTTGAAATGCAACACATGGCGACTGCAGAGATTTTCGCTTTTGCCCGTGTTTTTCCTCTTGATTTTCTGCTCCGTTTTTCTTTTTCGTTTCTTTGGCACTCAGAGTTCCTCCACTTTGCTACAATATCCTTTCTGCTGTCTATTTTTATCTCCGAGCACCGAGTTTCTCTGAGTTCTTTGGGGTTCGTTCGCATTATCACCCAAGAGTTGGGGGGGATTCGGAGTGCCGAGCACCAAGAGAGCTGTGGATTTGTCGTAATTGTGTATGGAGTGTTCTCGTCCATCGCAGCTCCGGCTACCTCTTTAATAAAGTTTCCACTGCCTCTTTGCCAGCCCCTATTTCCCGGTTTTGCGCCTGTTTATTTTCTTTTTTCTGCCTTGCTGCTGCTTCTGTTGAAACAGACAACCCCATGCTGCGTTTTTGACTGTCTGCTCCATACAGTAAGAGAAAAACTCCTTATAAGAAGAAAATCCCAAAAGATCCCTAACAATATAAAAGATTATCTAAGGGTGATGCCGAATTAAACCTTAGTTAAAATTATTCAAGTTCTGAGTATTTTGTACATCACATAAATATTTTATCTATGAGTTTAAATTCTCTTGAAGTCTCTCAAGTGATCTTAAAAGAGCATAAAGAAAATGCCAGTGTATTTATATGTATCATCCACACAACCTTATGGTTAAACAGAAGCAGAAACAACAGCCTATTCCAGATCCCTCGGCAGTCTGAAGTCGGAGGCCAAAGGCAGCTAAAATTAGACTCCAGACGATGTCGATATGGCAGCAGTTTGCTCATTAAGCGACCAATGGCAATCGTACCGCATGTACAGCATTTTAATTTGTAGAATTAAGGCGTAGTAAATGAGTCAGGCCAGAACCCCCTTTTGGTATTTTCCACCTTTCTACCAGCCATTTCCGCATAAAAACTTATAGAAAGCAATAGGATGTTGAACCTCATTTTGGCACTACGACGATTTGTAATGGCAGCGGTAAATGAGTATTATTAAAAAGCGATTAAAGGAGTACAGTAAAGATTCACCGATAGCATTTAAATGGTCCTACTTTACTAAGGGTTGAAGTAGCTACATGATTTGAGGTGGGTTTATACGTGATTTCCCATTTAATGTTTAGGTTCGACATACCTGGAAGAAAAGGAGAAAAATGCTAATTAGATAGAATATACAAAAATATTTACTTAAATATGTAGCTATTTTAAGTTAAAATGTTTAACATTTCCCCCTAAGAAGCAGATTTATTTAATTTAGCCTGTGGTGGTCACTTTTTGACAAACACAAAATTAGTTAGCAATTCCAAATAGTCATATTTGTATAATAATTTGATAGCATAGCTTAGTTCGGATATTCGCATGATCCGCTTTACTTCGACCAAATTACTTTAGATTAATATGAACAAATATTTTTCATGAAATTTATTTTTAAAATAAACTCATGCCCCTGGCTAGAATAAAATAAAATAAAATAGTGCGCCCCAGTACATTCACATAAATCCGCTTATTTCCACATGAATTGAGTTCAAAAAGTCAAAAGCAAATATAAAATTCACCCCAAACACATCTGCACTTCAACGCAGATTTGTTGCGTGACAAAAATGCAAAACGAAAAAAAAAGTTTAAAACAAAAAAACCGAATGGAATAAATTATTTATAAAATCCATCGAAATACATATACATATATATGTGGACTTTTCAATTTAAATGTGCGTAAATTGTTTGGAATTCCCGCGCCAAAAGCAGATTCCCAGGTTGTGTTTTTGGCATTGTCTGCAGTCTATAAAGCCGAAATACATAAATGTATTTGAAAAATGTGTAAACAAATGGGGGGTATGGAAAATGTTTCAATTACAAAATTAAAAATAACGAAAAACGAAAACACAGAGAAACATTTCCGCCAATGACACTCTTTCCATACCGTTCCCATTTTTTTGTTCTTCTCACTCATCTCGCAACGAATGAGAGGGCTGAGCTCTCGGGTCTGGCCATTTAATCAGTTTAAATTGACACTGGGGGTCAAATTCATTAAGATAGAATTCCTTTTTGTTTTTGCTTAGCTGCTCTGGGCGTTGGCTTCATGCGACAACGACAACGAGACGAAAAACGTCGACAAAACCTCTCGACGAAGACGAAGGCGGAATTTTAAAAATCATAAATTTACGAAATAAAGATAGATTGGCGGGCGGTGCTGAAGGCATTTTCCATTAGCATTCCATTCCTGGCGGCAACTACGCAACACTTACACCTAGGCCAATGTAATTATTGCTTCCCCGGAAATCGCTTGAGGCGACTGAAAACTGTAAAGAACTTTGTAAAAATCATAAAAATTAAATTCAAGGCGAAAGTCTATAGATAATTTTAAAAATAGCTGCGGAATAACAAACGGAGTTGGGCG